ATTTCGGTCATTATTGGCATAATTACTTCCGATAAAAATTATTGAAACTTCCCCTACCTTGATTTCCTGTGTACTGTCCTCTAAAACCAATCTTTCCTGTCATAAAACGAGCCACTTCGATTTCCTAGGAACCATCCTCTAAATCTACCTCTATTTCCATATCCACGATTTGTTCCTTGACCCATGGCTTGAGCCTCATTTTCAGGACAATCTCTTTTATAATGCCCCATTTTTCCACTTTCAAAACAGCTACGTTGTAACATGAAAGCTGTTGGAGTAGCATTCCCATTTTCTTTTCCATAATAATTGTCTCTTACTTTGTAAACCTACTTGTCTTTTTTCATTTTCTGCAAGAAATTTATTTTTTCTACGAGCGTGCGCAAAGTTGAACTTTGTGCACGGAAACTCTTTGCGCACTAATTTTTGTTACGCATAGTTACCGCATTTAAACTCGATTTTTCAATGTTTTGTGGATTTCTTGATGAACTTATATTCAGAAAGAAGGGCCTGATGTTATTTTTGTTCCAATAAAGGCATTCGTTAGGTTTGTTTTTTCTGCCAAATTTTTGTATGGAGGAGTATAATATATAATATATATAATATAATATATAATATCTATATATATAAAAATGAATGCCACTTTTCGTTTTAATTTTATAACTCAAGAACGGACTCACCTAGCCAAACCAAATGTTTAGGCTTTGTTCGGACTATTTATTAGATGGTTTATGTGAAGTTTGCACAAAATCGGTCGAGCGGTTCTTCATTTATCACATTTTTTGTAATAAATTAATTATTCAATAAATGGAGCATCATTTTGCTGTCAAATTCAACCTTTTTTCAGCGTTGACAGTACCAGCATGTTGTTATGTCATTAATGTGGTCATTTCATTACTTATTTTATTTATTTATGAAAAAAAATTACTAAGCCCGCATACGTCGCCATGTCTTATAACCGATACCAAGTTTATTTTGTATTTTGTATACCGCGCCATCTCTGATACCTGGATCGAAGCTCGGCATTGCAGATACAGTAGAACAATGGTGCACAGACTATTCCACTATTCCGATCAGATAGAGTGGTGCAGAAAGAGTAGGTCAGATAGATTAGTGCAGATAGAGTAGAACAGATGGAGTAGTGCAGTGCATGCAGTGCAGATAGAGTGAAATAGGGCTGCGCTAGAGATTTTTTTTGTTTTCTTTACATTCTTTGAACATTCCTGTGCCTGAGTTTATTTATTTGGTGGTACACTTTACAAGAATAATGCCCACAAGCTGCCTAAAAAAGGATGATGTAAAATTTTAATTTTAGGTGCCTTCTGATCCAGAGAGTAAACATTAATTTTCTTCAACCAAAGCCAAATTCACCATCGAAAAAAACTGAATTTAATTCAGCTAATAGATACGTTAACACAACATTTAATAGGTATATTTAATAATTCAGAGGCGGTACGAAGTTCGCCGGGTCAGCTAGTATAATATATAAAGGCATTCAGGAAATGTTTAGTTTTTTTTAATTTGACACTTTCTGTATGAGGAGCGAGTGGAGGAAAAATCCAGCAAAAACAGATGCAAGGTCAGTTGACCATTGGCATGGAGAATCACCAACTCACATTTCTTTGGAGTATCAGGTTATAAAAATTGAACTGTAAGTCATACTCCTTCATACCAAAATTTGGCAGGAAAAACAAACTTATAACGACTTTTTTAAATTTTAAGTAAGTAAACCTCGCTAGCACAACCAATGTTGCAAATAAAGTCAAGCTGATCACTGAAAAAAAAAAAAAAATGAAAACACAACACATTGAACTAGGAGAGTAAATTACCAATTTTGAGCATCTAGAAACATTTAAGAAGATTAGGTAGGTACAGCTCCCCTGGATGCAAATCTTCAAACACTCGTAGAAAAAGTATTGTTCCTAACACTTGCGCAAAGTGTCTCTCCCGCACTCAAAGCTTATCCGAACTCCGCTTCGCGTCGTTCGTCTAACTGCTTTCTCATGCGGGAAAGTATAACTTTGCGCACTTGTTAGGAAAATAACTATTTTACTTATTCGAAGGTCACACCTGGTAAATTCTCAACCACTTTTAAGAATGTATTATATGAACTAGGTAAACTTAAGAGAAAATTAATAACACAATAAATTACAATATTTATTAAATTTTCATCAGTAATCTTTATAGTCCAAGAGCCGGCAATACTAACGGGTATGTGATCGTTGCAATGGATAATTTCTACATAAAACAATAGTTCATAGTAACCTTTAAACTAAATGGATGGGTGGCCTCGATTCTCATGGCCGTAAAGTTGTTTTATAAAAAGATACTTCAAGAACCATAAGCGCAACAAATAAGAAGTACCTTGCGGTGTAGGAGGTTCTCATCATATGCGGCAAACACTTTATGAACTCAATTTCATGTTTCTTTTTTTGTCTAAAGACCTACAGCTGTATGCAAAATCCTCTTCACAGAGTCCTCTTTTAACTTTGAAAGTGACTTTGAAGGCTGTCAAAAATTTGTATTTAGCAAGCAAAATAACGCGTACCCTCGACTTTCAATAAGGGTTGTCATCATTTCCGGCCATCAAAATTGAGGCCACCCTATATATTATTTGAGAAGACATATTAAAGAATATATCTACCAATTTTCAGCTATTGCAACGATAACATTGTTCCTTCGGAAAAAGAGGGGTAGTTTACGCCCAGCCATCAAAGGGTTGCGGCCATGAGAATCGAGGCCACCCATTCATTTAGTTTAAAGGTAACTATGAGCTATTCTTTTATGTGAAAATTATCCATTGCAACGATCACATACCCGTTAATATTGCCGGCTCTCCTACTATTATGTTTGCTGATTTTAATTGTCTTACTATGCTGTCAAATTCCTCAATAAACTTCATTTTCTTTCAGCTTCATACTTAATTGTTTCCTTTTTTTTAAAGCAGCTGTCCTGATTATCTTTTTTTTTTTTTCGTATTTATTTCCCAGCACATTCCACATTTGGTAGGTAGTTTTACATTGACGTAAACTTTCTATTTTTGAATCTGTACTGAACCAAAAGTGATTTCGCTTTGGTATCTTTTTTCTTCGCTGCATTTTCCTCAAGGGTTAACTTATTCTCTACACAGGTTAATACATCATGCTCTGCTAATAATATTTCAACCCTAAATTTCCAAATGTGATAATTATTTCCATTTTACGGTTCTATGCTCAGTTTTTTCTCCATTTTATAATAATTTTTCTGAAACAGCTATTTTTTTTTATTTATTTATGCCTTGCCGCATATGCACACCATTTCCCCGTATTCTGGGCCCATAACCTGATGTTGCATTTAAGGAAAAACCACCGAAACCATTTCAACAGTGACACCTTTGCATTACACATTTCTTTCTAGTGTCGTCATCTATATATAAACTGAACAAACTATAGAATACTTAATTTAATATATGATTTAAGTGCATCATAAAATAGAAACATACAAACATGGCTGTCATATTAATGTGAACATTGTGGGTAGCTAGCCCCAGAAACGATTCCAGTGAGTGTGCTTCTCATAGTCCCGGTGATGCACAAACATGAAGCTGAAGGCTGTTCAGTTTATTGACTGTGTTACTTCTTGTGTTTGTCCACCATATAGCAGTTCCGTGTACAACTATGGGCCTGATAACCTTCGCATACAGCCATAGCATCATTCTTGGTTTCAGAGTCCATGTTTTCCCCAAAAGACTTCTTCATCTAACAAGACACATTTTTGCTTTGTTGATGTTTTCCTCTGTAGAAATTTACTCTGAGTTGTGTGGATAAATTACATTAACATCCGAACTAACTTCACAGTCTTTTATTTCAAATGAACAACGTAAAAATATAAAAGGAAGAACCGGCGTTCTGAAACTTTTATAAAAAACTACTATCACTGTCAAACTAACTAAAAACTATGGTTGAGCCAAATCCAAGCGGCAGTAATGACATTAACTGGTCATTTTCATTGCATCCGTCATTTTCATTATATACTATCAAATGTCCTCAGTGCATGCGCACTAGTCCAGGGGTGCGATTTTCGAAACCATTCGAGTACATTTCGTACACGAAATTTGACTGACAGCAATGTAAATTAAATGTAAACGTTTCAACCAATAGGAAGGCTGGTGTTTGTTTACAATTTAGGTCTAATGTCATTTATTGCCGCTTGGTTTTGGAAATGCTATAGTCACAGCATATATGGTACTAAATTTCAACATGAAAGCACAGGGGTTGACTTAAAATATTTTGAACTCCATAAAATATTATTTTGAAATTCTCTAGACGTGAGTTTCACTTCAACTTAGACCTAGGTATTTCAGTTCGTCAACTATTAAAATTCTTTCCTTGAAAATGCATAGGTTGTATTCACCCCTGTTCCTTCGTCTAAGGTACTATCGCGGTTTTTCTGGCGGTTTGCTTCCTCGCACCAGCGTTGTATAGCTATCAGGTCTGTTTGCATTACTTCTGCTATGACCATGGGATGATTCCCTTGAACGAGTATCGCTACATCATCTGCATATCCTTGGGCCTAAAATCCCTGTGAGCTGAGATGCACGAGCAACTCTCATCTACCACTAGGTTCCATAGAAGTGGCGAATAGAATGCCGCCTTGGGGGCATCCTTGAGTAACGTCAGTTTCTAGGGTGTATTCATAAACAGTGTGTCCAAGATAAGGATGGGATAATACTACGATCTGGAGAACGTTTGGAGTTACAATGTTAGTTAAGTTAGAAGGAGTCGGGCAATTTGACTACCTTTTACATAAGGTTTGTAGGCAGCAGATCTAACTACAAACGTGTTTCGATGTTCTCGCATCTCGTCGGCGCAGTGTAGGATCCACAGCGAAAACTTGAACCAGTTTACCACCAATTATGATTAACACGCAAAAGTGGCTTTTTAGTTTTTGTATTCGAAGTACAACTTTTTTATCTTAGGAAAGTACTCTCAAATTTAACATATGCCCCCAATTATTTTTTCCAGTACTACGACAACAGTTTTCAATACTACTCCTTCAATGCCAACGTATTTAGTGGCCTTCATTATCTCAGATTTCACATGTACCTCTGGCAACGATATAGAAGGGACCCTACCCTATCAAGTAAGAAGTCCTATTAACTCAATCTCGATAATAATTGAAATAAATATTATTTTGAAGGTATGCTCAAGAAACGAAACTTCGGATACAAGAGGCCTGGCTGTAGAAGTTGCACCGTTGTCCATTGACCACCTTAATACATATTTAGGACTCAATTACAGCGAAAATATGGAAAAACTTGACCAAGTAGCTATTCCAGATTTTTCTGCAGGCGCCATGGAAAATTGGGGTCTAATCACTTACAGGGAAAGGGGTTTACTTTTTGACGAAAACGAAACGTCAAACGCTTACCAGCAATACATAGCGTCCGTTATATCACACGAATTGGCCCATCAATGGTTCGGAAATTTGGTTACTTGCAAATGGTGGTCTGAAATTTTCTTGAACGAGGGTTTTGCTACATTTTTTGAATATTTTATCACTCATGAGGTAAGAATACTGCATCAAAACCAAAACCGTCCATTATCAGATCTCTCTTGTCTTATCTCGAAAGTTCGAGACAAAATGAGTTCGAGAGATCCTCGATAACAGAAGAACCAGAGTTCCATACAATTTAGACATAAAGTTATATAAACACAGGAAATATAACATTTTTTATTTATATAGTTTCTAAACTGCTAACAATTATTTTAGATCTATCCTCAATTCGAAATGGACAATCAATTCGTATTAAAAACTCTGCAATACATATTCGAAGAAGACAGTTCAAGTACGGAAGCTTTACGTAATCATGCTTCTAGTCAAAGTGAAATTACAGCCAGATTTGGTGGCATTACCTACGATAAAGGTGGCAGTGTATTGAGAATGGTCCAACATATTTTGGGTACTGATGATTGGATAGCCAAATTGAATGTTTACTTGAATACATTGTAAGAAAATCAAGATAATGGGATTAGATGATTACCCTCTAAATAATTTTTTAGTGCTCATTCTTCAGCAGAACCAGAAGATCTTTGGCGAATATTAGGTACAAATCTTACTGACTTACCAGCAGATAATTTAACTGTGATTATGGAAAATTGGATCGACACGCCAGGTTATCCAGTCGTACATGCTAGTCTTAATCAAACTCAATTGACATTGACTCAAGTGAGCAAATATCCTAACTTAATGTTTTATTTATTTAAACACTATACTAATAAATAATACTATTCTCAAATCTGTCAATTATTTTTCAGGAAAGATTTGTCTTAAGTAACAAAACAAGCAAAAACAATACCTGGTATGTGCCATTAACCTACACGACCTCAGAAAACACATCACATTTTCAAAACACTACTCCAGTAGCCTGGTTAACTCCAAATTCTAGCCTCAACTTGACTGTTAGCTCCAATTTATCCTGGATTGTTCTAAACAATCTCCAAACTGGCTATTACAGAGTAAACTATGACTCTAACCTGTGGTTAAAGCTGGCAACTGCTCTACAACAAACCAACTTCTCTGGTATACCGGAAATCAATAGAGCTCAAATCGTTAATGACGCTTTCAATTTGGCTAGAGCAGGCCATATAACTTACACACAACTTTTTAATATTGTGGCTTTCTTATCTCAAGAAACATCTTATACTGTTTGGTATCCAGCTTTCAGTGGCTTCAGTTACTTGCTAAAACGTATCGGAATAAATTCTACCTTGGGAGCAGCAATTTCGGTAAGAATACCTAGTTGTTTTTAATTAATGGCTATAATGTGTTTTTTTTAGGAGCATGTTTTGAATCTCACCAGTACGGTTGTGGCTTCAGTACCAATTACCAGTACTAATTCATCGAATCACATTTACACTTTGAATCAAGTTCAAGCTCAAAGCTGGGCTTGCAAGCTTGGAAGTTCAAATTGTACTTCTGAGGCAGTACGGTTATTCGAAGCCTTTAAAAATACTAGTACCAGGTAGAAATTGTATGATCAATAAAGCAAAGCAAGTAACATAGTGCAACTTTTTCAGGCCGGATAAGAATTTGAGATCCATTGTATATTGTTACGGTTTGAAATATAGTTCGGACGTCTCGAGTGATTGGGCTACTTTGTGGAACGCTTATCTGAGTACTTCCCTATCGACTGAGCAAGTGACCATTTTATCTGCCCTCGGTTGTTCGGAAAATGAAACTATTTTGAATTCGTAAGTGAAAAAAGAAAGATTTTGTCATATTTTTATTAATTTTTGAATGATTTGTGGTAATTTTGGCCAATTCAAATTAAAAATATAATCAAGTGAAGTCAGCTTGCGTATGACAATAATGGTAGGAACATTATTGCTGATAGGTAATAAAATGTTGTTGTAATTAGGTACCTACTCTGCTACTAAATTGAAACCGAAACTCCACGCTAAGCATAAAATTTCACAATCCATTTTGAATAATACATATTGATTTGTTTAGATACTTGAGCAAGACTTTGTCAGGTGACAGTGGTATTAGGTCCCAAGATTATGCATTAGTATTTGCAGCAGTTTACAGCAGCAGCACTGCAGGCGTGAGCATTGCTTTGGACTTTTTAGACAATAATTATGATCATATAATTGCACGGTAATACCTAAATAACCTATAATATGAGGAGAAAAATATATGTCAATTCTTTTGTAGCTATACGAGCTTGAATGGAGTTGGTAACATCATCAAAGGCATTGCCGAACAAATTACAACAAGTGAACAATTAGCCAAGGTACCTACTTGAAAGAAAAAAAGTACTTCAACATCCTATTATCTATTTACCTATACTCTATTTTAGCTCGAAAATCTGATAAAAGGCGGTAAACTGAACAGCACGGTACTAGAGTTGGCAAATGCAGCTCTATCTTCGGCTCACAACAACGAACAATGGGTGGACACTCACAAGAGCAGTCTCTACACTTATTACGGCCTACCCGATGACTCTAACTCCAATGCTACTACCTTAGCGCCATCTACGACTACGCAATCTGGTGCTTTCAAATCTTCCTTGACCTTAGGGTTGGTTTTCTTGTGGGTTTTGTTGAAAATGTTCTAGGATTATATTGAATTAGAATAAGAACCAACTGTAAATAAAAAGTGAGGTACCAAAATTTGAAAAACTAAATGTTATTTTATAATTTTGTAATGTTTTAAATATTTTGTTAGTACTTATTCTTTGTTAAGTGTGGTGTTATTCTATACTTCCTAAAAGTTACAACTGATGCTGACATTATTGACACTTTTTTTCGCCTTTCAATATTTTTTCTTACCAATTTCATGGTTTTATTCAAGCGTCTCTTCAACCCCCTTGGAGTTGAAGCTGACTGATCCTGTACCTTCATAAAGAGAAAAGTCTCTGAAGAATTTTTAATGGGCGATGATAAAGATGCTGGCAAAAACCCATGTTTGCCTCGTTAGATGGGGTTGGAATGGTATTGTCGCGAAGAATTTCTAATGCCTTACCTAAGAGAAACACCGTTGTTACCAACTACCCCTCTATTGTTGATATGACGGACGGTTTTGTGAATTTCATAAAAGACCAGCTTCCCAAAATACATTAAAGGCATTCAAGATATTCACATTATCCAAATAAGATCCCAGAAATGTTAAGACTTTTGTTAAGGTGCTGGTAACTGAGTAATAAATAGTATTGATTTATTATGTTTATATTAATTTGTATTGTACTACTTAGATATAGGTAGTTGAAAAAGCCTTGCAGTAAGTATCGGTTCGATTTATAATATGCTGATAATAAATACATCATTGGAATATTTCGTTTTCAGCACAAACATCTTCAAGTGATATTTTCCATAGGGAATTTGTTCTATTTTTTTGGAATCATCATCCAAACTGACGCAGCATCAAATAAAGCATTACACTGGTTATACAACTCACTGTACATTATTGCCATATGACACGAGAGGCTTATGAAGTGATAAGCCTTTTGGGATTATCGCGCTTGGTGGCATTTGTCATTAATAATAATAAAAATTAATAAAGCATATAAGTTTAGTTCGTTGTATAACCTTCTGAATACCACTCGATGTTTCAGGATTACCTAATACTTTTACCTGACACTCAACGCGTTACCAGCAACACCACTCCTCCTTCGGAGTCGTGGTGTTGCTGCGTAACGCGTTTCGTGGGGTAAAAGTATTATCCGGTAATCCTGAAACCTCTTGTGGTATTACATTCGATAATATCTCACGAGATAATCCATCAATAATTCGAAAGTTTGTTAACTAGCAAATGGTCATTCTGAACTATACCAAAGGAATGATTCGCTGCCATGTTTAATGAGAATTACACGACAAACGCTGTATAAGTGAATTATTATTAGACAAAGCGATTTAGGATGCAACTTTTCAAACAATTTCAAATGGCAAAATAATTCGCGATTAAAATAGTAGGTACCATTATTTTCAACTGCAGATGTAGAGATATTCCTGCTTTAACATCTAACGCCTTAGCTCCCACCGAAATTTTGGTAATCCAGGTAGAAATGAGCTTGGAGAAACAATGCTTGGCTTCCTGTGCTACGAGATGAACAGCTTCTACCGCAAAAAGATCCAATAAAGAAGTCATAAGATGGACTTGGCAAAGCCCCAGTGGCAAGACACGGAACGAATTCGAATAGTTTGTTACAGATAAAAAACAGATATTCGAAGACGTGTCAGTTATCAATAGATCTGCTATACCGGGTGTGCCACCAAAAACTGTCAATGGCCTATATCTTGAAAAAGGTAATCTATATACAGGGTGACAATTTGAAAATGAGCAATCGGGAATATCTCTCAGACAAAAAATACTATCAGGAAGATCTCAAATACGTATCGGGGGATTGGAGGGAGAACCAAAATGCGGCACTTTTTGAATCAGCCCTCTCCTTAGGGGGTAGCTACCCTAACTTATTTTTTTTTTAAATACGAACCTACATTGTGATGCACATCGTTCGAGAGCTCGTTGCTATCCCTTTACAGTCATATAGCAAAACCTTAAATCCGACGATTGGTTTTTGAGATATCGGTGTTTAAAAGTGAGCATATTTTGAAAACTAGTAATTTTGACTTTCTATTAGACAAAAGAATTCTGTCATAAAAGTCTCAAATACACATCGGGGAACCAAATTTGTTTATTGCCTAACCCCCACCCCACCCCTCTTGTTTTGGGGGTTAGCCGCTCCTAATAATTTTTCTAAAATGAGAACCTACACCGTATGATAGTTCCTTTGACAGGTTTTTTTATTCTACTTCAGAGACGTGTAGAAGCAGATAGAATTACGATATTCGCATTATTTGATTTCGCCTATGTGTATTCTAGACTTTTATGACAGAATTTTTTTGTCTATAAGATAGTCAAAACTACTAGTTTTCAAAATATGCTCACTTTTGAACACCGATATCCCAAAAACCAATCGTCGAATTTAAGATTTTGCTATATGACTGTAAAGTGCTTGAAAAAGTGTTTCAAGCACAATAGTGCTTCGAGCACAGTACTTGCAGGCACTTTTAAAATACAGTGCTCGCAGTGGCGTAACTACCGAGAGGGCAGAGGGGGCCGTGGCCCCCGGGCCCAGATGCTTTTGGGCCCCATCCGAGGTCCCATGCGAAAGTAATTTTACAGTCAAAAAACATATTCGTACGATTCTCAGAATAATGTCTTACGAAACCTGATTGTAATCAATAAAATACGAAAATCATTAAAAATTTTAAATTGAAGAAGTAGAATTTGTGTTGAAATTTGAATTAAAAAAAAACTCTAGTCTTCCTGGATATCATAGATCATGTTAAAAAAAAAAACTCATTTAAAGTTTTCAGCATAAGCATGATCTAGCAGCCTATGATATCCATTCCTGTTAACATTATGAGTTAATTTATTGCCCCTGATGATGGGATTTACTAATTCCGAAACATGTAGGGCCGTTTAATTTAAAAGGAATAAAGTATTTGTGGAGGAAGATTTACAGCCGTATTCATAGTCAATCGCCAGGGAGTCGCCGGCGCCGTGTGCTAGGCCAAATACGGCGACTCGCTGGCGATTGATTATGAATACGGCTGTTAGAGTTTTTCTTTTGAATTAAAAATTTTGCTGACTCACTTATCTATTCACCACCCATATTTATTTGGAAAACGTATAGATATTCCGCAAAAAGTAAAATCGCGATCGGTAATGTTAGCTGTTAGCGTGGAAAATGGTAGGCGGTTTCCGTAAAATAATTATTTTTTGGTTCTTATGAGTTAGGGCCGGTTTATTCACCTTATGATAAACTTTCAGGTATGCAATCTGACGGATATAAACGTATCTAATATGTAATCCTATTGGTCAGGTAGTTATCCGCCGACCAGAATTAAAGAACAGTCAATTTATCTTGCAGATAGTTACTAGCAAGTATATCAGATAAATAAACCGGGCCTTAGTAAGTTGAACCGGAGAAAAAAAAAACCCTGATTGAAAAAAAAAGCTGAAAAAAAAGTCCTACAAATCTGATAACAGATGCACTAGGTACACTTTATCTATACGCAAGTTTCCCCTGGAATCACCGGATGACGCTTCAGGGATGGGAGTTGAGGGAGATCCAAGGATTATTACACACTACACAGGATAGGACAACCATAGGATAGTCTATCTGCAAGCCTCCCACCACGCCAAAGCACCAGTGATAACGTAGACAGCATATCGTTTATCGCCTTGACGTAGGGTGTTTGCACCACAGGCTATGATTCCGCTGGCTTTTGCTTTATGCATACTTGGTTTTAGTACATTAATGGCGACGAGATCAATCGATAGTCAAGTCTTTGTTAGCAAACGACAACCTTAGATTGTGCCACACAAAAACAATCTCATATATTGACATTGACACAATTTGAGGTTTTTGTTGACTAACAAGGACTTAACTAACGATTGATCTAGCCTCACGCAACATTCTGAAATAACCTTTTTAAATCTTGTTTGCATCTTCCGCTTTGCCTATTACGTTATTCAAAATTAAATAATATTTTCCATCATGAATGTATATTTTAATCTACGACCGCTGGCGCAAACAGTTAACGACACCGTAGATGACGTCGGCAACGGTGCAACACCATATGACCTTGATTCCAAAAATCGAGGCCGATGAGCAATCCTATTGTAGTATGTAATATCCTTGAGGAAGAGCAGGAACAGTATTGCGATGTTGCTAAATCCTATTTTTTTCCTGAATATAAGAATTATTTTTACGATTTTTTTGTTAAATGCGGTTTTACCCGGAGAAAACACCTAGTAATCCGGAGCCCGGAGACCATATGTGAAAACCCGTAGTCTCCGGGTGAAACCCTATTTTTAGTTTTACCAACAGGATAAATTTGCCAATGACATTACCGGTCGGTTCATAATTTGGCCCTAATTTTTTATTTTGACGGATCAAACTGAAGGGTGTGGGGAAATTCCTTCAAAATCGTCGTGTTTTTTATATGAGCGGCGAGCGAAAAGTTGGCACCAGGGTCCCTATTCTTGAAACAGAGGAGCAGCGTTCCCAGGCGAACGAGTGTTCCATCTTTCTCAATGATATACGTGATTATATATTGAGTAGTAACAAAGACGGAACACTCGTTCTCCTGGGAACGCTGCTCCCCTGTTCCAAAAATAAGGACTCTGTTGTGTGTGTGTTCAAATTTTCACTAAACATGGATCAAAATGCCCTCAATGAAAAGAGTATCATAGATTTGATTGCTTTGTACAGACAGTTTCCTTGTTTATGACGCATAAAGTCTCTAGAGTATATTACTATCTAAAAACCGAACCTGCCACCGCCACTGCTAATAATTTTCTTCTGTCCATCGTGCGTGAACGACTGAAGATAAATATGGGATTCACATAGTGTGTGGGCAAAACAGCTCTACGATTTAGCACGACTTTCCGAATCGCAGTGATTCGAACGAATGAAAAATAACGGAATGTGGGGGCCTTTAGACAAACAGGGCCCGCCAAACCACTCTGCCCCCAGGTCCAAAATCTGAAGTTACGCCACTGAGTGCTCGGTAATTGGTAATCGAAGCCCTCTATAAAAAGTGCTTGGTAATTGGTAATTGATTTTCGCATTTCAAACCATTTAAAGTGCTTGCAAGCACTTAAAAGGCTTGCAAGCACTCAAAAGAGCTTGTAAGCACTCAAAAGAGCTTGCAAGCACTCTAAAGGCTTGCAAACATTAAAAATCAAGTCCTTGGTAACAACTTAACGCAGCATAAGCTTTAATGTGATTGGCTGGTTGAAGACCGTCTCGGATTCGGCAATATGGAAACATTTGTGTTGTGTTAAGCTGGTTTCCCACGGCCCGTGATATCGCAAGCCGGGCCGCGCCGCCCTTCCCATGGAACGTCTCTAGAGACGAAGATTAGTAATAAATTAAGAACAAAAAACTTTGGTTTGATATTTTATTATAATAGACTGTGAGATAGGGGATGTTTAGTGGAGTCATTTTTTTTTGTCTGGCATCTTGAGGGCTGAATGTGGCTCCTAAGCTGATGAGAATATGGGTGATTTTAATGCCGACCTCCCGTTTGAAAATTTGCAGAAGAAAAAAATTCATTTACATGAAATATTTTTTTTTAATGGTCTCAAATTTTCTGGCTTTTAAATAAAAGATTGACATTGATAAATAATTCACCCATGAAAAATATC